GGTTTAGGGTTTAGGGTTTAGGGTTCAGGGAGCTACCATGATACGGATACATAGCAAACACCAGGGTTTCCATTATTATGAAGGCTTCAATTTCAAGCTCCCTTCAGGACGAGGCAAGCCTGGGGCTTCCAGCAGGGTCCCACAGGATCAGAGCATCCTTGGGGAACAAGGTCTAGGGCTCAGGACCACATATTGAGGTCTCGACGCCTAGGGCTTTACGGCTATATAGTATTGCAACCTTCCGGGGTCAACAGCAAGATACTGCCGTGACAATGACCAGCACCAGTCTCACCGCACCAGCATCATCATCCTCATCACCACGACCATCACGACCGACACCATCATCATCGTCATCGTCATCAACCCCGTCACCATCAACATCAACATCATCGACATGGTCATCATCATCAGCAGCAGCAGCATTGATCAACGTCATCGTCATAATCATCACCATTATTATCATTGTCATCGTCAGAACCGCAAGAATCAGCAAGATAATCCTGAGCATAGTCTTCTGCCTCATCACACTCACCAAAGAAAACGTCCGCACTCACATCAGCATCATGATCATCATCACAACTGTCGTGATCGTCGTCGCCATCACTAGCATCTCCGTTAAAATCATCGTCATCATCATCATCATCACCATCATCATCAGCAGCACCACCACCAGCAGCAGCACCAGCGGCAGCAGCAGAACCGCCAGAAGCAGCAGCAGCAGCAGCAGCAGCAGCAGCAGCAGCAGCAGCCAGCAGCAGCAGCAGCAGCAGCCGCCGCAGCCTATGCCATCGTTGCAGGCACCCGCTCTGTTTGACCACCCCGTCGCCTGCATCCTGGGAGGAAAGCTGAAAACAGCTCCCCGGTGCATCGGCCGTATGTACATTCTTTTCTGGGGTGGCAGAGGGGCCCAACATCGTTGACAAGACAGGAACTAGGGCAAGGTTAGCCACAAAGTAAAAAGGTATTTCCCTAAACCCTAAACCGAAACCCTCGAAGTAAAGAGGGTCTTTCTTGCAACGAACCCTCATGTCGGGCCCTCTGCCTCCCTCTTAAGCTTCCTAAAACTAGATACCTACGGAGCCTCGAACCTACCAGCAAGCCCCGGATAACCCCGAAGAACCTCCAAAAACCAAAAGCCACTACACTCCAAAAAGCTAACTAAAACCCCAGACCCGAAACTCACGCCAAATCACCAGCTGAGCTAAATTCCGGGACCCTGAACCGCTGCCCCTCGATTGCAGGGCACATCGCCATCTCAGTGGGACTGTTCTTGTGCAGATAGAGGACCAGTGACTTAAGCAAGTTGTAAACCGGGTTTCTGCACTGTATAGACAATACTTATAGCTCCCACCTACCTCCAAGTAGGATCCCGATGCCTGTACAGAAAGCCGTGAATATGTTCGGGGAACTCGGGTTCTGTACTTAACGTCAAGGACTGAACAAATTGCAGAGGGTTTGGGGGCTAATTATATTATCGTACAGACATGATAAGGAACCCTAAGCAACAATATAGGCAATTGATCAGGCTTCTGTGTTGACAAACCCCTCATGGCGAAGATCCCTGCTGGTCGTCTCGCTTGCGCTTGACCGCGGCAGTAAGAGCGACGTTGTAGGACTCCGTATACATCCTCGTCACAGGGAAGGAGGATGTAGGGAACAGTACTAACCATGTGGCCGTGGCTGCACCCCCAATCCATGCGGACAACTACTGGGACCGGGACTTCTCGCCGCGAGGCATATGGTAGTCCACTTCCATTTTTTTCCTCAGCAGCTTCGACAGGGCCTCTATAAGCTGCGACAGCTGTAAGCTAAAGCCGCTAACCGTAGCAATGGCACAAGCCACTGGCTCTATCGGACCGGCACGAGTTTGCGCCCGTACGAAGGACGAACGCACGAACGCGAAACATGACAGTATTGTCAGGTCGATGTTACACTGTGTAATGTGCTCTTGCGCTGGCAACTATGGTGGCAAGTCTGACTGCGATGTATTCTGGTTGGTTAAGACTCTCGCCCTTGCCTTGACTCCACTCAAACTAACAGCCCACGCTTCCAAACAGCAGGATGACTCTCGCCACGGGGCTGCGTCACGAACTCATAGCCTTTGCGCTGAAAGATGCCAACCTGGGGAGGTCTTTTTTCTGCCACTCTTTCAAGGCCTAGATCCTTACAGTTCAGTCGGGTTGAGGGGCTTAGGACTCTAAACCCTAAACACTAAACCCTAAACACTAAACCCTAAACCCTAAGCCCTAAACACTATACTCTACGGGTTTATGGAGGTTCAGGCTTCGTTCTCTTATCGCTGTGGTGGCTCTCAGAGACAGAGCAAGAAAAGCTGGTCACCATCTAGTCGCCTACGGTGGATGACATAAATCCTGCATTACCCATAACAAGGAATATACCATAATTCCCATAGTTTAGGGTCCTTAAGGCAATGCAGGATTTATATCATCAACAGTATGTTCTACCCGAAACCCTACACCCCTCATAGGTCTCTTCTAGGATCAGATACCTTTTCAGTATCCTTTAGTAGCCCTTGCGGAGCCCTGCCAGTATCCCGCTTTAGTATTCCTTCACCCCTATAGAACCTTTACAGTAGTATAGCATCTTTGATAGGATTCCAAACCCTAAACACTTGTAGAACAACCCGAAACCTTAAACCCTAAACCCTGATCTACTATTATGGATATCCCTTGTAGAACAACCCTAGACCCAAACCCTAAACCCCTAAACCTCCAACCCTAAACCCTAAACCTCCAACCCTAAACCCTAAACTCCTAAACCCCTAAACCCCAAAACCCTAAACCCTAAACCCTTCTAGCATCCCTCCGAGGATCCCGGGGCCCTTTAAAAGGAAGGGTCAGAGCTCCGGGCGATTTCGTCGAAGTTGAGCTTGAGCCGGGCCTGCCAGCGTTTGGCTTCCGAGCTTTTGGGTTTAGGGCTAAGGGTTTA